AGATAACTAGGTCCTATGCCATGGAGTGCTTTAAAGGTGATAACCAACACCTTGAAGTGCACCTGGAACACCACTGGGAGCCAGTGCAGCTCACGCAGGAGAGGTGTTGTATGGGAGCGCCATGCAGCTCCAATGATTACCCGCGCGGCCGCATTCTGGACCAGTTGGAGCCTCCAGGTGCTCTTCAAGGGGAGCCCCATGTAGAGAGCGTTGCAGTAGTCCAGGTGAGAGGTGACGAGGGCATGAGTGACTGTGCACAGAGAATCCCGATCAAGAAACTGCAGAAACACATACAGGTTTACCACTTCAATTGTTCACTTGAGCAAAAAGCTTCACTCATGTACTGTACACTTCCTACATAATTCAAGTTGAAGTCCACAAGTCTTCAAGTTGCCAAGGTTGGAGACCCCTGGGCTAGAAGACACACAGTGTAAGGATGTTCCATCCCTTTCGGTGTTGTGGATTTAATAATAGATCTAAATGGTACTAGCCTGCAATACCTAGATAGAAAGCAGTATCTTTTATCCCATTTTTCTGAGGAAAAATAGTCAAGTGCATATCTGTAAGACAGTACCATTACTCAGAAAACAGAAACAGAAAATGGAAAAATAAATTAATTTCTGTGCATAGACATTATGAGGCACTGGATTGCAAGATGGCCTCTTGTCCTTCATTTTAAGGAAGGCTTGGCCGCATACTTAAGGACTCTTTCAGACAGTTAGCAGGCAGCCTGGTTGGGTTTTTTAAAAAAAGGCTCTAAATGCTGCTTGCAGTTTTGTTTTTGCCATTATTAATTTTTATCCAGAACTAATCAAAAGCAAAATGTGACAGAAGAAAGCCCATTCCGGCAGCAATCTGAGAGAGATACTGACGTTCTCATGAAAGCAGGTTTCATTAACCAGCCTCGTCCTCGAAATCAGGACTGTCTGATGGCAGGTTGACTCCTGCTAATTATCCTTTGCTTGCAAAAGAAATTGTAGGATTCTTCAGCCTCACTTAAGAAGGGAAGCTCTACCTCTTCAACACTAATCTTGTTTCTTTTTTCTCAACAGTATGTCAAACAAAGGATTGAAAAAAGAGATTTTATGACACCTCTGGTACATGTTTTTTATCCAGAGATTCAGAACTGCAGAAACACATACAGGTTTACCACTTCAATTGTTCACTTGAGCAAAAAGCTTCACTTGTGTACTGTACACTTCCTGCATAATTCAAAGTCAGGTTGGCCAAACTAGGCTTGAGTTTTGAAAGAATTGGAGCAGAATGCCCACCGCATATGGTACCATATTCTATTTGATGACTACAAAGGGCTATAGTTGCCATATAATCTGTATCTTCCGAAAAGGAAGACTTCAGCAGCCCATCAAAGCTTGGTCAAGCCTAATCTATCTTGGCATTTTTATCATACCTCCTAGTATTTTTCCAATTGAATGGCATTGACACATCCAATATATATAAGAATTATGACATGTTTTGGGAACCATTTTTCATTGAGAGACTAATGTCTTCAAACTCGTCATTCTGGTAGTAATTTTACTACCAGAATGCTGTACATGCTGTATAAACTGAAATTTTTCTGAATGAACTTTTCTTTTTGGCCTGCTTTGAATGCATCATTCATGATGTTAAATTACACAAAGTTATGACATAAAATTGTACATCATTCTATCATGGTACTATATAATGCCTGACATACTATGCCAGTGACAAAACTGACATATTTGTACATGGCCCATTTATGTCTTCCTTGTACATTTTAATATATTATATAACATAGCTACTGATTTATTTCTCTGACCATCTCTCCTCCTCTCCCCTCCCCCTTTCAAATTTTTTGGGTAGAAATCAGTCAAAGGGACCAGTAGCTGTTCACAGTCTCATTTGTTATACTCTATAGACTCAAAAACTCCATGCCCATTTGAGTGAGAGATAAAATTTGTTGCAGTGATAAATGCATTGGGAAGATAAACATACAATTAATATTATTTTGTTATTATGTTATATTAGCCTCCTAACAAGTCAATAAGTAAGACGGGAAAAATGCAAAACAATACATGTACATCATAGTAAGGAAAACTACAACTACATTTCCTGCTAAAGCTCTAAAACTGACTTTCTTTTTACCCTTGAAACAGTGGTGAAATCCATTTTTTTTTACTACTGGTTCTATGGGCGGAGCTTGGTGGGCATGGTGTGGCTTGGTGGGTGTGGCTTGGTGGACTCCAGGGGAAGTCCACCAAGGGGAAGGATACTGCCAAATCCCCATTCCCTCCCCATTCTGGGACAGCCAGAGATGGTATTTGCCGGTTCTCTGAACTGCTCAAAAGTTCGCTACCGGTTCTTCAGAACCTGTCAGAACCTGCTGGATTTCACCCCTGCCTTGCAAGCATTCTATCTTTTAGAACAATATTCTGCTCACAAGCTGAAAGTAGCCTAACACTTGCTAATAGTGAGGAAGAAAATCTAAAAAAAATAAATATTGTATTTGCCAAAAGATTTGAGGCCAAAGTAGTCAACAGGTAAGCAGTTTTTTTCATGCTCCTTTCTGAGCCACAGGTCTCTTTCCTCTTTCCTTGCTGGTTGTTTGGATTAAAAAATCTATTCCAAAAGATATTCAGTGGTTGCATAACAACAGTCTGCAACAACAATAGTGGACTGGCTGGTATACAATCAATTTTATACAAGAACTACAAGGTGCACTTCCTTTCTTGCAATAAGAGAAACAAAAATAGAGCAGGCAGGATGGAGGCCATGACCAATACACTTCAAAATACTGTGCACTATATGTACAAAAGTAATCAATGTTCACTTCCTATAAAATCTGAAACCTGAACCTATCAATGGCCAAGATAATTTCTCTTGTGCAAAATTAGAATCAAGAAATATTACTATTTAATCTAAAAACTAGAATGCCCTCTTATCTGAAAAAGAAAGCATATTAGCAGTCAGAAGGGGAATCCCTGAATCCAAATTGGGGGGGGGGGGGAATCAGACTTTCAGAACTTATTTAAATTAGAACAAACTGGAATCGAAGAACAACAGAAGAAGCCCATTTTATGAATATTTCTCAACAATACAGTCGGATGATAGAAGCGACAGCTGTAATCATTGTATCAGTTATTTCACTGTCCTTTTACTTAGTTCCTGGAATCATGGATCATCTTCATGACCTGCCTTCTAGTTTTTTTTGTTTCTATTTATACTTTGTCATGAGAAGGTTGGACTTTAACCTCTGAGTTAAAGTCCTTGACTTATTGGACTGTTCAAAATTATGACAGACCTTAAAAAAGATACTTACAACCCAGATTCAAAATTCTGATGGCTACCCTCCCCACAGTCATGTGACTGCATTTTGGGCACTCGGTAACCAGGTCACAGAACCTTGCATTCATGTAACTGCAATTTATGACCGCTATGTTGAAAATTACAGTCTCAATTACAATCATAAATCAAGGTCTACCTTATAGATTATTGTCTGCTGACTTCTTATTGACTGAAAACTGCATCCGACATTAATTTTAAGCAAAACAGTACTATGTTGGGGAGGTAGATAATGATGCGGGTCCCATCCCCAAGGTAGATTCACCTGGTGGGACCCAGAAGAAGGGCCTTCTCCATGGTGGCTCCCTCTCTCTGGAACATCAGTCCCCCAGAGATTAGAATACTCTAATACTCTTCTGGAAGACGCTGAAGACCTGGTTCTGCCAGCGGACCTAGGGAACCCAGAGCGGGATGGAGCCCATTAAATGGCTTGTGTGATCTGCTGTTGCCAGGACGGGGAGTGGGGGTTGGGGAGTGATTTTATCAGGATTTTATTACTATATTAATTTATTTAATTTTTAATTGGTTTTATTGTTTTTAAATGTGATTTTTATATTCTGTAAGCTGCCTTGAGTCGTCATGGGTGAATAGGCAGCAATATAAATTTAATAAATAAATAAATAAATAAATAAATAAATAAATAAATAAATAAATAAAATAAAAGATGTCAATATGCAATTTATCAAAACTGCATTTTCCTATTTTTTGATGATTGATTCTTCTCCTGCTCAAGATGGTGAAGACCATCCTATCAGGGTCCTTTTGGAGTCCAGAACTGAGCAATGGACCTGAAAAACCTGCACACTTAAGACGTGTTTATATCCAATCTTTATAAATAAACTATGGTGAGACATGTGAAACTGGACCTCAAAGAAGCACATTTTCAACCGTAAGTCTCTTGCTTCTACCTGAGAGCCTAACTTGCTCTTTATTGTCTCCCTCTTTCAGGGCTGAATTTGGACAGTCGCTGTGATTCGCTTAAGCCAGTGGTTCTCAACCTTTTTTTCACCACGGACCCCCATTACCCCATCACTGGAGGTTTTTAAGAAGAGACTAGACAGTCACTTGTCTGAGATGGTATAGGTTATCCTGCTTGAGCAGGGGGCTGGACTAGAAGACCTCCAAGGTCCCTTCTATTCTATTCTAACTAAATTTAGCACAATCTTTTCCCATATCAATACTTCTGTAAACCAAGACAACAAATCAATTTACCACCATAAAAAGATATATGACATAACAAATGGTCTTCTCTGGCACCTAGTATAGCAAATAACAGTATATGCCGTATTTAGTCTGTTACAAGACAATGTTCCAAATCAGCCAAATGTGTAAAACAGCTGAAGGGTAGGTAGTAATGGATTAAAATACTTACTGCAAAAATTATGTTTCACTCCAAATTCCACAGATGTCTTTCTTGCAAAGCAGTCTTCAACTTTGCTTCCAATTTCATTTTAGGTGATAAACTACTCTAATGAACTACATTTTAGGGCTGTAAGCTATTATCTTCACTATTCTCAAAATCATGTAAAATAGGTCAGATGGTTTGCCTAAAAAAGAGTTTCCATATTTTTTAAAGGTAAATGATCAGCTACTTAGTTACACAATAACATTCTTACCTGGATTACTGGATAAAAGATGATAGCATTTCATTTAGACTTAAGGGCAAAATGGATACTCGCCATTACTGAGATGTGAAGGATCCGTAGCTCTTCTTCTGCTGATTCACTCTGGGGTTCTTCTGTGGGCTCTAAACCAGGGGAGACGGGTGTGCCATCTTGATGGTGGATGTGGAAGAGCAAGGTGCCATTTTCCAGCCACTGCTGTCTCCAGCGCACCAACGGGATATCTTCTGTATTGCCTGAAATCTCTGTGGATAAGAGAGGACAATAAATGCAAATTAGCATAAAGATTCTCTCACTAACCCAAGCTAACACAGTTATTAGTCAGGGACAATGGGAAGTGTACTAGAAGTTTAGAATGTACAGGATAGCCTCTTTAAAAAACCAGAACAGTGTGTGCCAACTAGCATTCTTGCATTGATACCCCCAGAGCCCCCTTCTCTAACTTTACCACTTAAATTTTGCAAACAAAAGACCAACAGCTAGGGTAAGATATATGGAAGCAAACTAAATAATATTAATAATAATAATAATAATAATAATAATAATAATAATAATGACATTCAGATGAATGTAATATACTATCCTTTCTTTAAAAAATCTCCCCAAAAAAATCTAATCTCCAAAAAAGCAAAAAGGAGGAACAAACTTTTCCTTGCAACTTCCAGTGATGCCATCCCATCAATGCAACATCTAAACATGCAAACACTTTTTTATGTTTTAAATTTTAAGTGAGGCATCATATAAATTTAACTCATAAAATAATCTCTACAGTCCTTGGGAGATTAATTAAAGCAGAATTGTGATCTCTCCCACAGAACACTTATACAATCTTGAGTTAAGGGAATGGACATAGCTGACTCCAGCTCTGAAGTTTAAAGAGGAAACCAAAGAAGTCAAGTCCAATCTATTTTGGAGATCAAAGCAGTGATTTACCAGGCCTAAGACTTTCTTGTTACATGATGATGTCATAAAAAAGCATAACCTGTTTTGTAATGAACAGTTTTCAGTTAAAGTCAGGTCTTAATTTCAACTGGAAAATCAATGGAACTTATTCACTTAAATTCTGGTCAATGAAATAGTTTCCCTAGAAATTACTTGTTTCATTTCCAGTCTTTGTATCCCTCTGCCCAGAAAAACATATCAACTTTCAAATTTCACTGTTAGAAGTACAGTACTTAACTTTACAAGTTGTTGATATATAAACACAGGCCCATATAAAACATAGAATAATAGAGTTGGAAGGGACCTTGGAGGTCTTCTAGCCCAACCCCCTGCTCGAGCAGGAGACCCTATTTCATTTCAGACAAATGGTTGTCCAGTCTCTTTTTGAAAACCCCCATGATGAAGCATCCACAACTTCTGAAGGCAAGCTATTCCATTGGTTGATTGCTCTCACTGTTAGGAAATTTCTCCTTAGTTCTAGGTTGCTTCCGTCCTTGATTAGTTTCCAATCATTGTTTCTTGTCTTGCCTTTTGGTGCCTTGGAAAATAGTTTCCCCCCTTGTCTTTGTAGGAGCCCTTCAGTTATTGGAACATTGCTATCATGTCTCCCCAAGTCCTTCTTTTCATTAGACTAGACATGCCCAATTCCTGCAATCATTCTTCGTATGTTTTAGCCTCCAGTCCTCTAATCATATTTGTTGCTCTTCTCTGCACTCTTTCCAGAGTCTTAACATCTTTTTTTTATTGTGGTGACCAGAACTGGATGCAGTATTCCAAGTGTGGTCTTACTAAGGCTTTGTAAAGTGTTACTAGAACTATACATGATGTGCACACATTCTCTCACTCATTCCAACTTGTCTGCTACTTTGTTAAGCTTTTTCATCTTCAGGTTTTGTTTTGTTTTTTAATTTGATTTATATGCCGCCCTTCTCCAGAGACTCAGGGCAGCTTACAAGGCGTTAAGCAATAGCCTTCATACTTTTGTATATTTATACAAAGTTAGCTTATTGCCCCCATAATCTGGGTCCTCATTTTACCTACCTTAGAAAGGATGGAAGGCTGAGTCAACCTTGAGCCTGGTGAGACTTGAATTTGCAGTAATTGCAGGCAGCAGATGTAAGTGGATGTTAATTAGTCTGCTAAGCCACCAGAGGTTTTTGCTCATGAGCTGCTAGCAAAGGATCAATTTTTTGCCACTGTGCCAATTCAGTGATGGGGATCAGTCAATCTTTTTGAACTTTTCAACATTTGGCAGGTTGGTGTACTGTATGTGCATGTGCTGCTTCATTTATTTCTCTCTTTCAATTGTTTTAAAAGGTCTTCTTAACTTGATCCCTAGGCATAAAATCCTTCATTCTCATTTTGCATTGATCGTAATTTAAATTAATCCTCCAGTTGCTTATTGTTATTATTATTTATTCAAGCTTCAGATCACTAATTAAGACTTAAAAAAAAACCTGGAAGGCTTACATGGACTTTGCAGCAAGAAAAAAAGACAACTGATGATTTATGGATTTGGGAATTAGAAAGTGTTAAAGAGGGAGAGTAAGGAGTAAAATAATTCAATCAATTATTTGATTGAACAAAGGGCAGAAGTCAAAATCCTGTTTCTTTTTTTCTAATTCTTTTTTTCTTTTCTTTGTTATACTGTACTTTTATGGTATTGTAAAATTCATATGTATATCTATAATCTATATCGAGGGTGTCAAACTCATGGCGGCGTCACGTAACATATTGGAACTTTTTCCCCTTTCACTAAACCGGGCATGGGCGTGGCCAGTGCATGATCCATCTGGTCCGCAGGCCGGGAGTTTGACAGCCCTGATCTATATCTATATCTGTCAGATCTCTGGTAAGGAAAGACTCCTTACAATCTCTCTGAACTCTGAAATATTATCAGAGTTGCAATTTCAATAGCTCCCCAATCTTCTTTCCACATTAATTCTGCTTCCAAGCAGTATCATACTGCTTCCAAGCAGTATTTGAAGGATTAGATAACAAATCTTAAGCACATCCATGATCTTTAAAAGGAAATGTGAACTCTGCATAGACACAGCTAAGAAACCCAGCACGTTTACATATGTTCTCATACCCAGGGGCACATTAAATTTTGTCTAAATACAACTAGAGAAGCTGAAGAGCCAATTCATGGAGACACTAATTTAATAAATCAACTATGTGTCCAAAATATTAACTTTTCTTATAAGGCTAACTCCAGGCTAAAAATGTACATAAAGTTACTGGATGTTTAAAATAACCATTTAAAGCCATTGGGTATGATCTTATCTTCATTAAAAAAAATCACTTTGAGACCTATTATATAATCTTATCCTATTTTCTGTTATCAATTGCCTCTATGTAGACATAGTGTCATTTATTTCAGCATTTAATGACTCAGAATAGCCGCTAAATTTGATCTCATCACATCTCCAACTTTAGCCACTTCTAGCAAAAATAAACTCATTCAGAAGAATTAACTACAAAAGAGGATGGTAGAGCTCCATAAGATAGAGGAGATCCCTCTATGCAAATGAACAATTCTATTGAATCACAATGTGCTCAGGAAGACAGCAGTGCTCCAAATGAAAAGGACATTAATGGGGTTCAATGGAAAGGCTACAGCAGGGTTTTCATGAATTATTCTGCACCCTCTTCTCTTTGAGGATTGCACTTAAACGTTTGTCCCATCAATATTATTTTCCTCTCCATCATGTCTGCACAGATGATCATTACAGTTAGCATCTGTCACCATTATCATCCCACACCATTTGAGTGCTTGAGAAAGTCAACCTGCAATTGATGCTAAGGGCACTGGTCACATTTGATGCTACCATACGCTGTATACTGAAAGGTAACAAATGTTTTCCCTTACAGTTATTAACCCTTGGCTCCAGATGGCTGTTTTTTAATCTATTTGTTGGATGTTAATGCCAGTGTTAATGACTTTTCATCTAAGGCCTTAATGGAAGTCACTTGGGGGAATCAGCCTTACCATCAATATCTTTCAAACTTTGAACTTGAAAGCTGTGCTTTCCAGTTTTTTCCCCTCCCTGGATCTAAATATGCTACCCCATCATATAGATTCATGAGCTGTACCCTTAAAAAAAGACATCATTAACAAATGCAGTAATTTAGCATACCAAGGGCATATAGCTCTAGTCCTTTTTAAACATGATACAAACAGCAGTTCTTTTCTGCAGACTCCTTAATAAAGGTCATTCTGCAAAACTAACAAGCAGTAGATGCTGAAGACCTTCTACATTTGCAGGCCTTTATTAGTACAAGCAACCTATCCTACTGAGATAATATAAGGTGGCCACCACAATATATCATGGGTCCAGTTTAGATGGATCGGAGTCATGTACAAAATCCAGTGCAAAGGAACTTAATACTGATCCCAGCATTGACAATATTCTAATGGAAAAAGAAGTGATTTCAACAGAGTAAAACTTTATATGTAAGTAACATGAAATGTTGCTGAATATATAATGTTCACTAAACAATGATGAAACAGTAATACAAAACTGTATGTGAGAGTTAAGCAGGCAGAATTTTGAATTTGGCAAACTTTTGGATACTGAATTTGGCAGTACTTGACTTCTCTTTTTAAAATTAAAAATTGGAATAGCTTGTGTCCAAGAATTTAAATGACCCCTTCCATCCTGGCTTTGGGAAAAATCCATTAAAACATGGCTGTTTCATCAGCTATGACTCATCCCTCTGATTAAAAAAAGGCATCTTAATTTTGGGTCACTGACTTTTATATTCCAATTCTTTACATATTTTGTATGGATTGTTGAGTTCCTATTGTTTATATTATTTCTTTTTACCAGTGTTGGGGAAAAAGGAATCGTATAGCACTCAAAGTCAATTTTTAAGTGCAATGGTTTAAAGCAGGGCTCTCCAACCTTGGCAACTTTAAGACTTGTGGACTTCAACTCTCAAAATTCCACAGCCAACATGGTTGGCTGAGGAATTTTAGGAGTTGAGGTCCCCAAATCTTAAAGTTGCTAAATTTGGAGACTCCTGTTTTAAACGCTTGGAAAGTGAATAAAATAAATAGATGGTGGGCAACAATTTGAGACTACAAATTCTATCTTTTGTTTATGATTGTTGAACACTGATCTGCCACATTCTAATATGTTATGTTAATCCAGTTCTTTGTTTATTTTTTTTCTTGTTAAAAATTGTAAATTACAATTCAAGTCCTGGAAATCCCAACAGGAGATTCTTTGAATGTTCTACTGTTAAAAGATACAAAGAATGTTCTTAAGATACAAAACACATTATTTATATTGTTAAA